CTATAGTCCCAGCTACTGGGAGGCTGAGGCAGAAGGATCGCTTAGGCCCAGGAGTTGGAGGTTGCAGTGAGCTACAATGATGCCACTGCACTCTATCCAGGGCAGAGTGAGACTCTCTCAACACACCAAAAAAATAAGGAAACTGAGCCTCTCCTCGAAACCTCCTACCCGTTCATATTTAAAAAAATTTTTTTTTAAAGTTTCTTCTATGTTTTTTGCTTTTGGCTTACTTCCCATTTCTTGACTACATGGTGATCTCGGCTATCTATATAGTTAAGAAATTTAGTTTTCTTTCTTTGCTCTCTCCTTTCCATCACTCTTCCCCTACCCTAATTCTCCCAGACACCTAAGCACACAGTTTAAGGTCTGTAGAGTACAGGTCTAGTTAAGTGCCTGAATTCTAATACCAGACCCCCTAAGTGTGAATCCTAACTTTCTGCCACTTGTTAACTAGGTGATCCTCAGTAAGTCACTTAAACTTCTTATTCTATATAGTTTTCTCATCTGTTCAGTAAGAAAAATGAACAGAATCTACTTTACAGGGTTACAGTATGGATGATTTATCACGTCCTCCCTGAAACACTAGCTATTATTATCATAAACCTTCACCCCATCTCACAGATAATCAGTATCTTCTTTTTCTTAACACACCAGTCTCTAGATAGTGCATGTCCATTCTCAGAAGTCTTAATGGAGTGTGGCTGGTCTAACGGGTGCTTGTAGCATATCTCAGAGAAGTGGCCTTGTGGTTCAGTCCAGCTCTGGCTGAATAACCAGAAGTTGGAAACTGGACTCAGGTATACCTGTGAATCTGTTCTGTGTCAATTCACCTTGAACTCCAGGCCAGCCTGGGGTCATCCGGCATCACCCCAGGCATTGCAGTCACACAGAGCCCAGTGCAGATGTGACATGGCCCCAGCCAACCTCTCCAGGCCCATCCATTTTCTGCCACCAAAAACATGCCCCGGACACTTTCCTTCAGAAGCCCAGCATTTCCCTGGGGCTAGTCCTGCTGTTCCCTGCATGGCCCAGGCTTGCTTTATCTAGAACACCTTTCTCCTCCTCACTGCCTAGCAAACTTACACTTGCCCTGCCAGGTTTTATTTACCTCTCACTTCCTCTATCTGGGACCCCCGTCAGTGATGTTTCCCCTCTATGCCAAGTCTCCTAGTTATGTCCATCCTGACATTTTCTAGGTTAATGGATAAAATTCTTACTGACTCCTCCACTTAGACAGCCAACTCCTGGAGAGCCCAGCAGCACAGGGAAGGCATTTCTGAATGATCTAACAAAAGGCAGGCCCTTTGACTTATCTCAGAATTAAGCCACTGGCCCATGGGCTTTTTTGATCAATGTTAAGAATCAGATGAGGAGCCGGGCGCGGTGGCTCACGCCTGTAATCCTAGCACTCTGGGAGGCTGAGGCGGGTGGATTGCTCGAGGTCAGGAGTTCGAAACCAGCCTGAGCTGGACCTGAGCGAGACACCGTCTCTACTATAAAAATGGAAAGAAATTAATTGGCGCACTAATATATATAGGAAAAAAAAATTAGCCGGGCATGGTGGCGCGTGCCCGTAGTCCCAGCTACTCGGGAGGCTGAGGCAGTAGGATTGCTTGAGCCCAGGAGTTTGAGGTTGCTGTGAGCTAGGCTGATGCCACGGCACTCACTCTAGCCTGGACAACAAAGCGAGACTCTGTCTCAAAAAAAAAAAAAAAATCAGAATCAGATGAGGCCAGGCATGGTGGCTCACGCCTGTAATCCTAGCACTTGGGAGCCCAGGTGGGAGGATCACTTGAGCCAAGGAGTTCAAGACCAACCTGGGTAACATAGTGAGACCTTGTCTCCATTTTAAAAAAGGAAAAAAATGAGTCAGATGAAATCTGGGCTCCTGGAGATTTGCTCTTGGCTAAAAGTGGGCCAGACATGTGGATTCTTATATCACTGAAGTGCAGAGTAGCAGGTACCACCCATTTTTGGAGGAAGTTTCAAAGGAATCACACAATTAGCTTCCTAAGCACTTCTAAGAAAAGAGGAAGAAAATAATGCTATAATTTCTATTTGAATGTCAAAACAAGTATAACACACAGGACTATGGATGGATAGGTAGGAGAGAAAATAATTTATACCTTTAGGTAGGTATAAATTATTCATGAGCTCTGAAGTTGTTGCAACTTACTTCCAGGAGAGAGGCTCTAACAAATTTGAAATAGCAGTGGAATAGCAGTTAAATGTTATACAAGGAGCCTCGTGAAATCACAGGATGTAAGAGCTAGAAGTGGTCTTATAGATCAATTATTGGTTCTCAATTATTAGTTCATTATAAAATTGTCACTGGTCCACAGAAAACTGAGATACATTTGTATAATTTGCTATCATGTTTCTTTGAAAAGCTACATGAATTCAATATAAAGGGTTGTTCTTTATTCTGAGATTAAATTTTTTCCACTTTCATGGTATTAAAATATTTTTTCTTTTAAAAAAAGATGGTGATTATAAATGGTAGTTTGGTCTCTATTTTTTTTTTTTTTTTTGGATAATTGTAGTCTATCTCGGTTTCTCAGTATTACCCCAATTAGTTGTATTTTGTTTTGTTTTGTTTTTGAGACAGGGTCTCACTCTGTTCCCCAATCTAGTGTGAAGTGGCATCATCATAGCTCACTGCAACCTCAAAAATTCCTGGGCTCAAGTGATCCTCCTTCTTCAATCTCCTGAATAGCTGGGACTATAGGCACATACCACCACATCTGACTACCAGTTAGTTTTGTTTTTGTTTTTTTAAAGCTCTCCATTGAAATATAACACATACATTCCCAATTAGTTTTGATAGCCTTGTATTCACAGGATAGCTTTCTAACTTGGAAAAATGAAAGTTTGGGCATACCGTAAGTCTCCCAAATTATTTTTTATACAAAATTTACTGGTCCATAAAATCTGACTGGGTTCAATATCCCTCCTAATTGCAGAAAAGGAAATAGGAGTCTAGAGAGGTTAAATGTTAAAGCATTTACAAATATTGAAGGTCCCCTAGCTATTTAACAGCAAAAGGGAAGACTAGGACTGTTACAGTAGCCAGTCAGTTAGGTACGAGCAAGGGAGGAGGGACCAGAAAAGGTAGTCAACTGGCTCGAACAAACAGCCCTTGAATGAACAGACCTGAGGAGAAGAGAGCCCTTAACTTCCCAGCATTGCACAGGTACAAAGTGATCTTTCCCCCATTGTATCACAATGGTAATAAGTTAACACTGTGGTTTTTGACAACCCCATTGTAGGGAAAACAGGGGAACTATGAGTAAGAACAGAATGAACACTGACTACCCAGCCCTCTTTGACTTCTACAAATAAAAACTGCTTTGGGTTTAGTGCAGTTGCTCTCTTTGAGCCTGCCCGCAACCTTTCTTGGGAGTGTACTCTCGCCTCTGCACAAGTCTTTCCTAAGCCTGGCTGTTTCCACGCAATAAACTTACCACTGTTGTTTACTTGTGTGCATGTCCTGAAATTCTTTTCTGCGACAGTAGCAAGAACCTTTATGCTGGTGACGGAACCAGTGTTCTTGCCTAGCAGAGTCCAGAGCTCTTAGCTTCTACAATAGTTGTTCAAGGCCAGGCGCGGTGGCTCACGCCTGTAATCCTAGCACTCTGGGAGGCCGAGGCAGGCGGATTGCTCAAGGTCAGGAGTTCAAAACCAGCCTGAGCAAGAGCGAGACCCCGTCTCTACTATAAATAGAAAGAAATTAATTGGCCAACTAATATATATAGAAAAAATTAGCCGGGCATGGTGGCACATGCCTGTAGTCCCAGCCACTTGGAAGGCTGAGGCAGTAGGACTGCTTGAGTCCAGGAGTTTGAGGTTGCTGTAAGCTAGGCTGACGCCATGGCACTCACTCTAGCCTGGGGAACAAAGCGAGACCCTGTCTCAAAAAACAAAAACAAAAACAAAAACAAAAACACAGCTGTTCCATATCAGTACAAGGTACGGAATTTGACCCTGAAACCATTTATGATGCAGAACTGAGATGAATGTGAGTTTTATGCCGTCCATTAGATTGTATGTTAAGCTTTATTGTGCTTTGCCACAATTATCTCTTACAAGCCCTTTCAAATAATCTTTACATGGCACTAATTATGAATTTGTGTGATTTTTACCTGATCAAAACTCAACAGGATGCATAAGAAGATTTTATAATACACACAAATACACATGCACTTATTTCATAACCTCCACTTACAAGCTGCTTTGTTCACTTTCTTCCTTATCAGTCACAAAACAGCAGCCACCACTATTTTTTCCTTGCAGTTCACAACATAGAGTTCAAATGTAATAATTCTGCAAGTGGGACCAGATGGGCCAGCTTACTCATGCCTGTCTGCTGAGTAATATCAGAAGATAACACATGTTACCGAGACAAATATAAAAGCCTTTCAACTCAGCCCTGGAGCCAGGAAAATATTAGAAAACTGTGATGCCAAAAATTTTAGCCCTTTTATCTCAATTTCTCATTATTATTCCAATTCGTTTTGTAGTCACTACAGTTATGGGAATTTCTAATGCCTGCTGTTAACTGAAGGTGCTGTTTAGAATGCAGGCTCACATGCTTCCCGTTTTCCTTGTAAAATGTTTGAGCTAGCAGCCATAAACTTAACCCATTACAGAGGTCAAACTAAAACAAAAGCCCTTACCTCGTGTAAGGCAGGTGTCTAGTAAACTTAAAGTAATACCTTACTTTTGTTAACTTTGAAATTCTGAAATAAGTTTAGACTTACAGAAATGTGGTAAAAATAGCACATCTCTGCATACCCTTCACCCACTTTACCCTAATATTAGTTTTTACATAAACACAGTACAAATATCAAAACTAAGAAATTAACATGGGTATAATTCTATTAACTAAGCTACAGACTTTATTAAAATTTCACCAGTTTCCCTGATAGTTTCCCCAGTTTCTCAGGTTCCAGATCCAATCCATCATCTCACATAGCATAAAAAAGCTTAAATTCACCAACCTGTAGGAATCAGGTTTTCATCCACAGGCAAAAAAGTATCAGCCTCTATGGTAACTTCATGGTCATATATATTTGGGGAACCCTGGGAGGCAAAGGCAGAGGAAAGAAAAGAAGATTTACTGCTTAGTCTTATTTAATATATTTGCTTTATAACTTCTCTTGGAAAAATGTTTTCAGGCATTAGCAAAAACTTTAGAAATCTCATTTGACTGATGGTAATGATTACATATATTCACAGGTAGTCTTTGCCCCCCTAACAATAAGTAAATAAATAAGAATAAACATGATCATTTAAGTGCTCAAAATAGCAATTGATAAATTTGGAAGACATATTCAAGCATGTATGCATTTTCTTTCCTAGATGGAATGAATATGAAGGTGTAAAGTCAGAGAGAACACAGTGCTTTGAAAGCATTTTGGACCCTGGGCTTATTAGTGGAGGCGATTTTTCTACTCTCCTCACATGCCAGGAAAACAGAAGAGCAAGGGTCAGTGACCAGGAATGCACAGGTCGTGGAAGGCCAAGGTCCTGCTCCAGGATCACTTCTGGGTGTGGGGGGCGGGAAAGGGCCATCTGGGACCCCTCTCTGCCTGGTTCCCACCTGGAGGACCTACTCCCTGCTATACAGCAGAAGCCCAGGAGTTAGAACTGCAGCCCCTGCTTTTGAGCACCCACCTACCTCCTGCACCTGCCCTTTTGGGGGAGCCAAGGCTGGTACAAGAAGCATTGGTCAGTGGCAGAAACCTGGGATCTTGTTCCAGCTCTCACTGAGTGGCCCCAGGGTAGTAACTTAACCTAGAATCTCATTTCCTTTGGGCTAATTTTACCTTTGCCAGGGTCCTTGGGAAGAACACCTTAGTAGAGTTGTACTGTACTGTTTGCAAATTGGAAAATACATAAGTAAGTTTGTAATACAAAGGATTTTTTTAAAAAAATTATTAACTGTAACATATTTTAAAGCATCACAGCAGAAGATGGTGAAGGGAAACCAAGTGAGGGCTTTTGCTTAGTGAATGCTCAAAAATAACCTACACTAGTGGTTCTCAAATGGGGGGTGATTTTGCCCTGCAGGGAGAATTTGGCAATGTCTGGAGACACTTTTTATCGTCATGTCTGGGGCTGGAGGTGCTACTGGCATCTAGTATGGAGAGGCCAGGGATGTTACTAAACACCCTGCAATGCACAGGACAGTCCTCACTCCCAGCCCCCACAGCAGAGAATTATCTGGCCCCAAATGTCAACAGTGGCAAGGTTGAGAAAGCCTGAGCTAAGCTAGACTGTGAAGTAAGCAGAGAGAGGCAGAGGCTGCAGGATAGTTGGAAACAGATTTTATGGGAGTCATTTTGAGAAGAAGGGCCAAGATTTTAAAGACCCTGAGAATCTATGTTGAAACATGACAGGAATTGGTTTGATCACACTACTAGGAGGCTCTGTTTCTAAAGAACTATGATCTCTTATATTCTCCCACTGGGTACATGGAATGGGCGGGTCAGGGCCAGGCCTCTGCCCAAATTCCCTGTCTTAGCCACTGGTTTGGTCCATATTCTGATCTGGGAAGGCCAGTCCTAGCTGGAAGAGGGTCTGCACGCCTCCTAGAGCAGCTTTAGACTCAGTGGGTCTGGGCGGCTCCCTCTACAGCCATCCTCTCATGCCTCAGGGCAGTGCCAGCACTGAAGAGGCCTCTGGGCTGAGGGAGGTAGAGCTAAGGGAAGAGAATTTGGGGCTACTGCTATTTCCCTGGCTCTATTTGTTCAATACTCAAACCGGAAGGTGGGGGGTCAGCCCAGACAGGGGTATGGAAGGTTGGGTTCAAAGCCTTGGTGGTACTCAATTGGGAGCTGCAACCCACACAGCTGAAGCGTCTCAGAAAAGGAGAGCCTGGACAGAAGCTCCTCCATCCTCCCCGTGCACAAATAAGACTTAAGGAACAACCTCTCTGATGTCATTCAGGGAGGGAAGCCTGCAGGAAGTGAGGTCATTCTCTGCACTCCCAGCCTAGCATCTGTGCAGGTCTTCACTTTGTTTCCTAGGTGCCTTCTTCTTCCTCCTTTTTTGTTTTTTTAATAAATTCTTATTTATAACCAGAACACTGTTCTGATATATATAGTTTATAGATTAGCTTTGCCCGTTCTAGAACTTCACATAAACAGAATCATACAGTATACACCCTTTTGTGCCTTGTTGCTTCTACCCAAGATAATGCTCTCGAGATCATCCATGTTATTGTATCAGTAATTTGTTCCTTTTTATTGTTGAGTAGTATTCCATTGCATGTCAATCTCACAATTTGTTTATCCATTCTCCTATTGATGGACTTGTGGGTTGTTTCCACTGTTTTACTATTATAAATGATAAAGCTGCTTAGGAATTTCCTTTTTTTGTTTGTTTAATTTTTTTTTTTTTTTTAGGCACTAGGGCAGGAAGAAAATGAATCAATCTGAAAATCACACACCAAATAAAGTCATGAGTCTGGCCGGGCATGGTGGCTCACGCCTGTAATCCTAGCACTCTGGGAGGCTGAGGCGGGCGGATTGCTCAAGGTCAGGAGTTCGAACCAGCCTGAGCAAGAGCGAGACCCTGTCTGTACTATAGAATAGAAAGAAATTAATTGGCCAATATATATAGAAAAAATTAGTCAGGCGTGGCGGCGCATGCCCGTAGTTCCAGCTATTCAGGAGGCTGAGGCAGCAGGATCGCTTGAGCTCCCCAGGAGTTTGAGGTTGCTGTGAGCTAGGCTGACGCCATGGCACTCACTCTAGCCTGGGCAACAGAGCGAGACTCTGTCTCAAAAAAATAAATAAATAAAGTGATGAGTCTGAGATGTTAGGAAGAAACCTTGGAGGTAAAGAAAAGGAATATTCACTCTCTTAATGGTCACTAAGCAGTACTAACATTCCTTCATTAAAGAAAAGCATGCTTTGTTTAATGACTCTTCTGTCCTGGAAAAATGCAACCATTTACGCTGGTGGAATATTACTGTTGGAATCATTTGCTTTCAAGCCTGATGGAAACTTGGCAAGAAATGCTGATTCACAAACAGATCTCAAGGCCCATCTCTGAGTTCAGTGTTTGTTTTGGTTAACTTTGTTTGCCTGCTACCAGTTTGTAACATTAATCATTTAGAGAGTCCCTTACAACTTGCATGGGGCTTTAAACCCCATTGCACAACCATGGCCTTAATTCAGCTTTCATCACCTCTAACAGGAGGTAACAGACACTATTTTTGCTTCATTTTTTTATTTGCATTATATTCATGGGGTACAACGCAACTTTGCTGCATTGATATATTGCACTGCGGTGAAGCCAGGGCCTTCAGTGTATCCATCATGGTAGCAACACACATTGTACCTGCCAAGCAACCTCCCATCATCCACCTTCCTCCTGCGCCACCAGCCCTCTGAATCTCCATTGTCCATCATTCCACATTTTGCTTCCATGTATACAAATTATTTAGCTCCCACTTATAAGTGAGAACATGCTGTATTTGTCTTTCTGTGAACAGATACTATTGGTGACTACTCAAAAGCCACAACAACCCCTTTATCAGTGCCCTCCCTTTCCCCTGATAGAAACCTGATGTGTTGATTTATCCCATGTCCTATGCCATGTATTTAGGGAAGGAGCCACCTCCCCATTCCCAGAGAGCAAATTTTGATTGGTCTCAGCCCATCACAGTGGTCTAATTCCCCTGCTGGCGACTGGGTTAGCTCTAGCATTGCCCACACTCTGGCCAATGATACGTGAGAGAAAGTCTGCTGGGGGGCTTCTAGGAATGGTTTTGCTTGTTCTTAAAAGGGAACATTAGCGATATGAAAAAAGGAATAGGTCCTTTTTGTCTCTGGATATGACTATATAAGGTGATTTCTGAAGCCGTGGCAACCATCCTGTAACCAGGAGGGGATAAGCCTGAACACAAAAGCCAAAACACTGAGGAAGCAGATAGAAAAATGGAAGAACCTAGGTTCCTGATGACATATCTACTTGGTCATACCAGAACCACAGCTATAACTTTTCATCTTGAATTCCCCTAGACCTGCTTTCATAGTTCTTTAGGTCAAGTTTCAATAAGAAACACATTTTCCAAGGCTGTGGAAACAGCCCAAGTGCCCATCAATCCAAGAATGGATTAATAAAATGTGGTATATGTATACCATGGAGTACTATTCAGCTCTAAGAAACAATGGTGATATAGCACATCTTATATTTTCCTGGTTAGAGCTGGAACCCATACTACTAAGTGAAGTATCCCAAGAATGGAAAAACAAGCACCACATATACTCACCAGCAAACTGGTATTAACTGAGTAGCACCTAAGTGGACACATAGGTACTACAGTAATAGGGTATTGGGCAGGCGGGAGGGGGGAGGGGGCGGGTATATACATACATAATGAGTGAGGTGTGCACCATCTGGGGGATGGTCATGATGGAGACTCAGACTTTTGGGGGGAGGGGGGGAATGGCATTTATTGAAACCTTAAAATCTGTACCCCCATAATATGCCGAAATAAAAAAAAAAGAAACACATTTTCCCAGTTTTATGTTAGGCACGGGAAAAAGCAGAAAAACAAAACAAAACAAAAAGCAATGTGTAACCCACATACATTTTCCATTCTTTGAAAAACACAGTTATCCCTTCCCCCAGGCCTCCAACACTCAAATTTAGGAGTGATAAGCCGATGCTTGGGCCGCAAATAAGATAATCCACTCCTACTTGAGTGCCCCCAAAGGCTGGTGGTCCCCACCCACCCTCAACCCTGAAGGTGGTGGCTGTGAAATCAGAGCTGCACTTACTAAGATACAGGTTGAGCTTCCCTAATCAGAAAATCCCAAATCCAAAGTGCTCCAAAATCTGAAGCTTTCTGAATGCCAACATGACCTCAGAAGAAACATTAACTGCAGCATTTGGGATTTTGGATTTGTGAATTAAGGATACTCAACTGGTAAGTATATATAATGTAAATATCCCAAAATCTGGAAAAATCCAAAACCTGAAACACTATGGTCCCAAGAACTTTTTTTTTTTTAGACAGAGTCTCACTCTGTTGCCTGGGCTAGAGTGCCATGGCATCAGCCTAACTCACAGCAACCTCAAATTCCTGGGCTCAAGCAATCTTCCTGCTTCAGCCTCCTGAGTAGTTGGGACTACAAGCATACGCCACCATGCCCGGCTAATTTTTTCTATATTTTTTTTAGTTGGCCAATTAATTTCTTTCTATTTTTAGTAGAGATGGGGTCTTGCTCTTGCTCAGGCTGGTTTCAGACTCCCGACCTTGAGCAACACTCCCGCCTTGGCCTCCCAGAGTGCTAGGATTACAGGCGTGAGCCACCTCGCCCGGCAGGTCCCAAGCATTTTGGATAAGAGATATTCAACCTGTAGTATAAGAAAGGGATTTTACATTGTCCAACCTTCTGGGTGGGGACTATGATCTGGGAACTCATTCAGACTTTGGAAAGACATTCAGAAATACTTGTCACTCCAAGTCCCTGTAGGATTGGAAGGGTGATAAATGGAAAGAGCCTTAGTAAACTTCACATTCTCATTTCATCTCCTTCATTGAAACACACTGGCAGATGGAATACTTCATGCACGATTTCTCTATTTCCGAATCTATTCCTTTAGATCTCCCCCATTATAAAACAAGGATGTCCTAAGTATTCAAAAATGTGGAAAACAGAAAAATCACCATCACTTACTACCTACATAAAACAATATTTTGTTCTATTTCTGTTGTTTCTTTCTGAACTTATTTTAAAAAATAGAGCTTCTCCTGCCTGGGCGTTTTTGTTTTGCTTTTGGCTTTTGGTTAGTTTTGAAAATCTCAAGAAGGATGGTAGACATTCCCACAGATAAGGAACAAGCAAGTGAAGGACCATTTTTCTTACTTTTAAAGGGAGAACTTCATATAATTATATAAAAACCAATTAATTCTACTATTTGAGAAGATTCTAAGGGGGAAAAAAAACCCCTAGCAGATCATCAGCAAACTCCTAAAAGAGTGTAAAATGCAAGATATTACTGGTTGGCTGTGAAGGTCATCTTGTGGTAGGAAACCACGCCAAAGTGATCTAAGTATAGTGGACAACGATGAGTTCCTGAGATAAAAAGGAAATAATAGATACAGTCTCTAGAGTTTAGCTAAGGTTTTTGTTCTGTCTGGTGTGATGGCCTCTGTCTGGTGTGGTGACCTCCTCAATAAGCTGAAACGTTGCCATTAGGAGGGAATGCGGCAGGTTAGAGGGGGGCACTGAAGAGGGGGTGTCAGTGGCTCTGCACCACTCTCAGGAGGACATTTCAAGTGTCCTCCCACTGTGGTTTACCCCTGTGCTGGGTTGAGTGTCTTTACCAACAACTTCACAAAGTGCTTCTAATAGTGGCCGACAAATAGTAGATAGCTATTATTGTGAAATTGAGAGTATGATTATTAATCTAAAAAAAACCATGTCTTTTTTTTTTTTTAATATCCTTCCTTGTTCCAGACTAAACCCAGGTCTTGTCAATCCAAGTCCAATGCTCCTGCCACTGTACTGTGCAGGGCATGACCGGCCACCCAAAGCCCTGGGAGGAGCTGGTGGCTACACAGTGGGACACACACATGGGCAGCATGTCTAAAGGGGCAGGGCCGGGAACAATTCCGATGATTCAAGGGTGGAAAGCACCTTAACTGGAAGCAATCTCGGGGGAGCAGACGTGGAATAAGGGAAGCCAACGTAAGCACGCATTACAAGGAGATGAGAGGGAGTTCCTGAAATAGCTAGTTACTTATCTGAAGCACATGGGAAACACATACTTCTCTTGGCAGTACAATGTACTCATTCTACTTTTCTCTATGACTTCCCATGTATTGAGCACCTACTATGAGCTTTCTGCTGGGCCCTTTTCATCACCATGGGGGGACCCCAATGCCAGAGTAATTCCATACTGGGTTGGTCTTTCCAGCCACAGCCCTAGGTCACTCCACAAAGCAGGAGATTAGAAGCAGGAGAGAAGAAGCCAAGTTCACTTACCTGGCCTGCCAGGTTGAAATAAGAGTGGTTGGTTAGGTTGACTGGCGTGGTCTTACTGGTCTGGGCTCGATAGTTGACCATGAGCTCCCCACCATCCAGGGTGTACGTCACCCAGACTTTTAACTCTCCCGGGTAGCCTTCCTCACCATCTGGACTGACTCGTGAGAACTGGATGCCATTTGACAGCACTTGAGGGGTCCAGAGCACCTGGAAAAAAATGTTTTCAAAGCTGCTTTGTCACTCTAATCCCAAGCTTAATGCCATCTTTCAATATCTAGAGACAACTGATTCCAGCAAGGAAAGTGGTTATATAATCATTAAGGCTTTTGAATAATAGCCTGGATTTTAATTATTCTAAAATTTTGTTTTATACAGAAAAGTGGCTTTTGTGAGAGAAAAATTTTTTTTTCTCTTTACCTATTCACATTCCCCATACTCTTTCCCCTAACTTTATATAGGTGTGGCTCTTTCCCTTTTCCTCTTTCCCTTCTTTGATTATTTTTCTTTGAATTTTTTCTTATCTTGTAGCCTCATTCTACTAGATGTCTTATAGTAATATCTGCTAAGAGTTTTTTTTTTCTCTTTTTGAGACAGAATCTCTGTTGCCTGGGCTAGAGTGCTGTGGTGTCAGCCAAGCTCACAGCAACATCAAACTCCTGGGCTCAAGCAATCCTTCTGCCTCAGCCTCCCGAGTAGCTGGGACTACAGGCATGGACTACCATGCCCGGATAAATTTTTTTTTCCTATATATTTTAAGTTTTCCAGCTAATTTTTTTCTATTTTTTTTTGAGACAGAGTCTCGCTTTGTTGTCCAGGCTAGAGTGAGTGCCGTGGCGTCAGCCTAGCTCACAGCAACCTCAAACTCCTGGGCTCAAGCGATCCTATTGCCTCAGCCTCCCGAGTAGCTGGGACTACAGGCATACGCCACCATGCCCGGCTAATTTTATATATATATATATATATCAGTTGGCCAATTAATTTTTTTCTATTTATAGTAGAGACGGGGTCTCGCTCTTGCTCAGGCTGGTTTTGAACTCCTGACCTTGAGCAATCCGCCCGCCTCGGCCTCCCAGAGAGCTAGGATTACAGGCATGAGCCACCTCGCCCGGCCTCTATTTTTTTTAGTAGAGACAGGGTCTCGCTCTTGCTCAGGTTGGTCTCAAACTCCTGAGCTCAAACGATCCAACCGCCTCAGCCTCCCAGAGTGCTAGGATTACAGGAGTGAGCCACCGACCCGGCCAATAGTTTTTAAAAGTAACTTTAATAAATCAGCCCCTCTCTCCTGTGGGTACTATATACAAATATTTATTTACAACACTCCAAAGTCCTTTGTTTCCTAAGCAGAGTTCAAAATAAATAAGGCATTTGTTCCATTAGGAAGAATTTTAGCCTACAAAATCAGAACTCCTGATTTTGGGGCCTGGTTTCTCTCGGGTTTGTCACAACCATTGTGTGACTTTGAGCATCAATCATAAAATGAAAGGGATGAAAAAATTATCTTGAAGATTTCTTCTTGTTCTAGAAAATATGATTCTAAGAATAGCAAGAAAAATACAAAGAAAAGTTTTCTAAAAAAGCTTTTTGCTTGGCCAAGCACAGTGGCTCTCGCCTGTAATTCTAGCACTCTGGAGGCCAAGGTGGGAGGATCCCTTGAGGTCAGGAGTTCAAGACCAGCCTGAGCAAGAGCAAGATTTCCTCTCTATCAAAAATAGAAAAATTAGCCAGGTGTGGTGGTGTATGCCTATAGTCTGAGCTACTCTGAAGGCTGAGGAAGGAGGATCGCTTGAGCTCAGGATTTTGAAGTTATGGAGCTAGGCTGATGCCACTGTATTCTATCCTGAGCAACAGAGTGAGACTCTTGTCTCAAAAAA